TGAGCAGCTCCCTTCCCTTTCCAGTGTTTGGTAGTACCTGAGCACTTTGCTGAGTGGTGGTGATCTTTAACTATAATGCAAGACACCAAGCTAAATTAGTAATAGCAGCTTCCCTGGGGACCTGTGTGGTTCATTGCCAAGGGACTGCATTGTTAAAAACATGACATTTATAATTCAGGCATTAAAAATAAATAATTGATAGGCCTATCAACTGGCAGCTGGTATGTGTATCCTCCCTGGTAGGAAGAATTTCACTGGAAGACAAACTTTAAAAATAAAAAACAAAGTTGTTTAGGGTCAAAGACAATGTTCTGGAATCTCTTGTGTGCTGTTGTGCTGCCTTTGGTGTGGTCTCATCTTATTGTGAGAGACCTCGTGTTCTGGAAAACTTCTTTACTTAATTCCAACCTCTTACAGCTGGACAAAACACTTGGACACATCCTGATAGCTACTCATTGTACTCAGCAAAGAAATCTCAGCATATTTAGAAGGATTTTGATTTGTATCTGGCAGAATAGAAATTTCACTTGGAGCCCTTAGATTTCTGTTTAAAACTGAGCAATAAATTAATAAGCCTAGATCTCCATACCTCAGTGATTCAGAATCTCTAGTACAAGAAAACAGGAATGTGCACTTTCAACATGGCCCTGGGTGATTTGTGTTTGTGTATGTTTTGTGTGGACTCTGGGAACCATTTACTCAAACAATACTGATCCATCATTGTTTTCATTCATGATAGCTCTTTGAAAGATCTAATGCACTAAAAGAACAGAAATAGGATCCTCACAGAGAACTTGTTAAGACATAAAAAGTAAATTTCTCTGGACTTACCCTCCAACTCTTGCTCTCACAATCCCCTACATAGTCCCATCCCTAAAGAGGCAGCTTCTCTGCAGTGGGGCCACCCAAAGGCTGAGCAGCCATGCAGAGCTGTTCAAGGACTGGACAGGGTCATGACAGGTACCTGTTGTCATGATATCCGAGGCATAAATTCCAGGCTTTTCATTCAAAGGGTTAATAGCAGCACCTGCTTGTTAAAACAAAATGAGATATTGTCTTCACAGTCCTTATTACTCAGTGATTGTACTTACTCAGCATCATTGGTAATTCCCTTAACTTTTAGGTCAAAAGTCCTTTCTCCAAAGGTGACCTGCCTGAACTCAGTTCTTCTACTGCTATAGCCAGAAACTTTAACTCCTTTACCAAAGGAAGATTAATAATGTCACAATTAAATGAAGCAGCAAGGGACAGCTCTCCCTTCTGACGACTTCTGCAGTGATGTTGCTCTAGACTACGAGTTTCTCTTTTCTATTTGTGGCTGATTCATTCAGAGAGAGAGAGAGAGAGAGAGAGAGAGAGAGAGAGAGAGAGAGAGAGAGAGAGAGAGAGAAAATTAAGTGGATCTCCACAGAAGACCTGTTCACCTCCAAGGATAATTTTCCAGGGGCTTCTGTAAAAATATGGTAGCAAAAATGGTTTAGGGGCTTCAGCATAGCCCCTTATTGTCTCTATTGTCATCTACAAAGCCTCCCTATGTGATAATAAGCAAGTTCAATGTTTATTTTCCCAGGACAAACTTATTTTCCCAAGACAGGTTTAAGACTTACTGCCTTCTCCAAATCCCTCCTCTATTTTTTAAGTTTTCTTTTCTTTCTTTCTTTTTTTTTTCAGGGTCTCACTATGTAACTGGGACTCATAATGATCCTCCTGACTTATGCCTCCCTAGTGCTGGGATTACAGGCTTGTGCCACCACTCCCAGACTTCATCACCAGCTCAGCGTGCCCTGGGGGTGGGGCTGGCATGGCATGTGGTGCCAGGGATCGAACCCAAATCTCTCTTCATTAGATACTGCAGAGCTTTCACAGTCTACAAGAAATCTCTGTTTTCTGTTGGTTGACTGTTTAATAAGGATGTTCACTCACATGAGCATCCTTATTAAAGTTTTTATCTGCTCATTCTGAGTCCTGTAATTTGTAAAATAGGAATTCATAAAATCATTATGTGTTCATTGAAATGAAGCAAAAGTGTCATAGACGAGGCTGTCAGCAGGAAGCTGAAGACACAGAGGTGATTAAGGTTAACTCAGGTTCATACCAGTTTGTTTTCATGCAGGGAAATTGCTTCCCACAACTTATACCGGGACTGGTGATCCTGGATCACATAAGTGGGCAAATGGTGTGACAAATGTCACAACAGCATATAGTGGAGGCTTATGAAAAAGTTGATATTTATCTGTCTTTCAAAAGAATCTCACTATTATAACATAAACTAATTGGTACTTTTAAATCCAATAATAGAAATAACTGTAACCACAACTAGAACTGAAGTTTCAATTTTCCAAAAACTTGCCAGATTACTTCTAAAATATCTTAGTATTTTAGATTTGAACACTCAAGATAAAGCCAATAGGGACCAGGGAGATGGCTCAGTAGAATAAGTGCTTCCCTGCCAAGTGCTTCCCTGCCTGAGTTCAATCCCCGGTTCAAAAAAAAAAAAAAAAAGATAAAGCCAATAACCTTTACAAAAGTGGCAAGTGAGGATCCACAGAGATCAGCATTGATACTGTACAAAAACTCCTGAGAAATACTCAGTGTGCTCAGTGTCATTCATTTTATTAGTAAATGCTTGCAATGCATAACGAATACAATTGTCAGTAGTTGGTAGATGTGCGTAAAAAATCCAATGCCTTTCATTGGCCGTGACTCATCCACATGGCTGACACTGACAAAGGTTCTACAATCTGAGGTACAGGATCTCAAGATAAATCCTGAGGGCATTTCACTGACCCTGTCAGACCAAAAAGCTACAACTCTTGTTGCACAGGTCCTGCTTTACCTTGGTCTTAACCATCCAGTAGAAAAGTATGAAGATGAAATATAGGAAGTAAAGCCATGTTGTTATGTTGAGCTGTGGGGGACTCAGGTCAATAATTTCTGACATTGCCAATTAAACAGAAGACCCAATGCTATTATGGGCTTCTGTACTCTTTTAGAATATTTTGCTGAGTTTACACACCTATAATATTCAACAATGGAACTTAAAAAAAAAATTGGGGTATAACTATGAATGTCCATTTTGTATCTGTGTATTCAAAGTGGTTGGGATAGACATATAGTTGCATTCTCTTAATGAATAGAATGATTTTTTCTAATGGTGTTTGTAAGTAGGATCACAAGTCTGCATCTTGTACAGCAATTAACCACTAAGAAGAATATATGCAGTGTATTATTTGTTGAAAAAAATAAAATAAAATAAAATAAAATAAACAAACAAAAAAAAATCCAATGCCTTTCATGTCCCAGGTCCCTCTCTTTCTTGCCCCTCTCTACATTTGCTGATCCCCTTCCCAACTATCCCCTGAGTTCCTACTATCTTTTATGCTTTTTTATTTATACATTAGGTTTCTCTTGTAAGAGAAATCATAACAAATTTAACCTTGTATGTCTAATGTATTCCACTTAGGATTATGATTCCAAGGTGTATCATCTTTCCTACAAATAACTCAAATTTCTCTTTCTTTTATAGCAAAATAGACTCCATTGTGTATAAATACCACATTTTCTTAATTCATTCATCTGATGATGAACATATAGGCTACTTCCGAGATCTACCCATTATGAATTGTGCTGCCACAAGCATGTGTGTGCTTGTACCATGATAGCTTCAAATTTTTCAGGAAGATATGTAGTAGCAACATAGCTGGCTTAAGCGGGATTTCTAGTTTTAGCTTTTTCAGGAATCTCTATGATGATTTCCATAGTGGCTTACATTTGCCCAACAATATAGAAGTGTTTCTTTTCCCCCACAGTTTTCTCAGTGTTGGTTTAATTGCAATTCTCTAATGGCCAAGGTGTTGAGCAATTTTTCAGGTATTTATTGACCATTTACCCTACTTCTTCTGTGAATTATCTATGCATTTTTAGTGGATCTTTTAATTTTTTAGTTCCTCAGATATTCTAGATACTGATCACCTGTCTGAAGAATAGCTGGCAAAAAAAAATTCCCACTGTACAGGAGGTCTCCACTCTGTTGATTGTTTACTGTGTTGTGCACAAAATTTTTAATTTGACATCAGCCTATTTGTTCATTCATGATGTTATTTCTGGCATAGTTGGGGTTCTTTTGAGAAAGTCCTCATTATGTACTTCAAGTGTTTTACCTATTTCCTTTCCAACAGACTAAGTGTTTCTACTTTTAATATTTAGATCTTTGACTCATTTTGATTTAATTTTCTGCATGTGTGTATGCAACTTTCCTAACCGTTTTCTGAAAGGGATTTCTTCTAGAATATGTTTTGAACCCCTTTGTTAAAGATCAGACAACTGAATACGTCTGCATCTTTTGCTCTGTTCTATATCATATCTGTCTTTTTTGCTAGCACCATACTGATTTTTTTAATCACTGAAGTTTTGTGATATACTTGAGATCCAGGGTTGTTGATGATAATAAGCAACTTTCTTATGATAATAAGCAAGTTCAATGTTTATTTTTCCAGAACAAACTTATTTTCCCAAGACAGGTTTAAGACTTGCTGCCTTCTCCAAATCTCTCCTCTATTTTTTCTTTTTTCTTTTCTTTTTCTTTTTCTTTTTCTTTTT